TAGTTCTAATCAAATATCTGTATGTCCTATTAGATCCATAATTAATTTTAATAACAAGTCATAACATTGTCTTTTTGCGGAGCATAAGACTGGGCTCTTATTCCCTCATTGTGACATTTTATATATGGTTTTCCATTTGAACAAGACTAATGAAGAATAGTGGTGAAGTTTAGGAGTGACACTTTCAGCTCTTTATAATAGCGAATAATATTTGAACTCTTACTGTGTGTCCCACACTGTTCTTAACACTTAACATAGATTAAACCACTTTAATCCTCACAACAAATTACCCACTGTGTGATCTTGGGCAAGTTACTTAGCCTTTCTAAGCCTTGAGCTCATATCCAGAGAAAGAAACCGAGGCTTGGATTGTTAAGTAATTTTCTCAAGCTCCCTCAGTTGGTGAAAGGCAGAGCTGGGACCTGATCCACCTCTTCCCCACCACCCATGACTGCCTTCTGGTATCCCCGAGGATCACTAACTAGAGACAGGCAGAACTAGATGCTCCCAAAGGTACCTTATAGTGCTCAGACCTGCGTTCACTCGCTCTATGAGATTCTTCTAAAATTGAAATACACAAATGACAATGAATAAGAAACACATGAATTCTTTTCCACATTCCCACCCTAATCTTTGGGACTTAAGTTTTCAACCTAGGTGGCCTATAAACTTCTTTGAAAGGCAATCCAAAGCTTGTAACAATTTTTGCAATGGCTTCTAAAAGAAGGTTCTCATGACTTAATGATCTTGAAAACATTGCTGTCTTTATAGCAAATGTATGACTGAAGAAAAAGATAAATCTCAAATTAAATGAACACCTTACATCAAATCCCTTTTGTGATTAAAAAAATTAGATACAAGTTGATTGAAGATGGGAAGTCATAGTTTGAAGACAGTTTCAGAAAGACAAGCAAATATAGATACACTCAGTTCTTAAAAAATGATTAGAAAGGAACCTTACAAGACAATGTGGCATCACTGAAATTCTGCACCATGGCTTCAGCCCACAAGTCATGCCTTTGTAAGAGGAGAGAGACCAAGCACATCACTTTTGGAAGGCTTACATTTATGGAAAACACATGGGATTTAAAGCCAGCTGGATCTGGATTTGAATCCCAGCTCTGCAGTTTTCTAAGAATGTGGGCTTGTAAGTTATTTAATCTCACAAAGCCTCAGTTTCTGCATCTGCTAAAATGGAATAACTGCCTCCTTGCAGGGTTATTGTGAGGGTAAAGCTAATGCCAAGCTAATAACATGCTTGGCACATGGTAGGTTCTCAATAAATTGTGGCTAATAACAACAACAAGAACAATGGAATTCATAAAAACAATTTAAATAAATACTGCCAACAGCAGAAAGAGTGTAAATGTGGTGGTTAAAAGCACGGGTCTGGAGTCAGACCACCTCAGTTTTTATCCTGGCTTTCCTTTCCTTGTGGAATTCACATCATATTTAATGAAGCTGTTCTCAGTCGACCACTTTTCTCTCATAATATAACATCTACATGGCTTTACTTTGATATTATAGGCTCTTCCTGTGAGCAATTACCTTCTTTTTGTACCAGTTACCATATCTGCAAAATGGGGCTAACAATAGTATCTACCCAATATGCTTGTGGTTTGAATCATGTCTGATACTGACACATTACAGGAACTCAATAAATGCTAGCTGTTGCTGCTGCTATTTTAGTCACTGTGTGAAGAACATGATAGAACCAGGACCAGTCACCTAGAATAAAACTGCCCACCTATAATGTTGATTCACAAATTGAACACACAAGAGTATGAAAACGCCTGAGAATAGCAATACAGTATTTTAGACTAACACCTGGAATAATAAAACATTAGAAGTTATCTCAATGGCAAAATAAAAATCAGACTGCAGACTACGATGAGATATGTCCAATCAACTGGCAATCTTTGTGGGGACACAGGAGTATATGATTGTTACTGATTTCTGAACTCAAAGCCAAACTTTTTTTAAGGTGGTGAAGAACAATGAGACTAGGGAAATACATTTTGCCTCCCTTCTTTCCCTCAAAATATGTTCTTCACCACCCTCATCCCTGGTCCCCAGTGCCTTGCCATTTTTCTAAATCTTTTTGCAAAGGTCAGAAAAGCAGAACTAATCCCATTGTGTTCCCAGCATACTACTTAAAAAATTCAGCCACCTAGCAAATGTAATAAGGAAGGATTGTTGTACCCAAAAACAATCCAAGAAATGGCTACCCCACCAGAGCATTCCAATTAGTAAAAAGGACATATAATCCTGCTGCTTTGGGTGTGGCTCTACAGAGAGGGATGAAGGGGCTGAGATTCTAAGTGCTGTCTCCAGCATCTCATGGATTAGACATCTGAACCAGGGTGAAGAACAGGACGCCCTAAGAGCTGTCTGTACTCCAAGACCTCTAAAGTACCCACCTCCTCACCCAGGGCCAGATAAGGAACCAGCAGTTCAGTAGACGTCTCCAGGAAAAGCAGCAAGGATGAACTTGAAAGAACCCATTTCATGATATGGGGTGAGAAACAAGAGGCATGTTTTTCCACAATCTTCAGTGGCTGCAGCTCAACCCATAAGAACAGTAACTTCAGCAGCCACTTCATTATATTTCTACTGTAAATGATACAGGCCTGAGCCAAGTCAGCACCAAAACTCCCTTCAGAATTCACTCGGTGTTAGGTCATCTGTACTCTATTGACAACTGCTGAACTCAAAACCCCTAACGAGGCATCTCAGCAACAATATGTGTCCTGCCACTAATGAGGCTCTTTTTCCATGAATAATGAACAAGAACATCATCTCTGTTGCCAGGTACACAACATAAACAAAGCTCAACACAAGGGCCTTGGTATGGTGAGTTTGTCCATTTGCAACAAAAGAATTTTTCAAAGTGTGAGCCAAGTTTCAGTGGAGGGTGGGACGAGCTGTTGTAACAAATGATGCGAACATATGTTATCAGAATCTAATAAATCAGCTTTTGGATGTTGTGGAACAGAGGCTGTGCAATGGGATAGTTAGAGACAATGGGGAGTTCCATTTCTTTATTTTACAATCAGTCTTATAACACAAGGCTGATGATTTCTGTAATGAACCGAGATCTTCATGAAAGGAGCCTTAAGAGGCTTGCCGTCCCAAAGGCTCTACTAATTAAAGTTTTATTTCTTAAGGCTTGATATATCAGATTGAGTACAGGTCAGCATTAGGGATTGCTATGGCACTGATGGCTACAGAGTGGCATTTGGAAGAGTACTGCCACCTGAACCCATGGTCATGGGACTGAATTCCTTTGGTACTAAAAGAATGTCAACGTATGAGGATTTTTGCCTACAAAGCAGCCCAACAGTTTAGACCCCTAAGCTTGGACCACTGTTTAGCTGAACCATGAGTAAGATTTTAGCATATAAATAGAGAATACAAGTGAGCTGACATGAAAGCCGAACAGTTTTTATTTTGTTTACTTTAAGGTGCTCCACAAATACTTTTCTCTGTTTCTAAAATCAGTTCCATACTAAGTGGCAAATATCTTGTTACACAGGGTACTCATGTCTGCACAGGCAAAATGATGCCATCACTGGCTGAAGGCTGTTAGTTTCCATAAATTTGAGCAAGAATTTGAAGAAAATGAAACAAAAACAAAAACAATCTCATAATGCCTGAGTTCCCTCAACTATAGGAGATAACAACTCTTACCCATTTCAGAGATTCTTTACAAAGAAATGTGTCAAAAATAAGACCCAATGGCCAGGTGTGGTGGCTCACGCCTGTACTCCCAGTGCTTTGGGAGGCTAAGGTGAGAAGTTCACTTGAGGCCAGGAGTTTGAGACCAGCCTGGGTAACATAATGATAACCAGTCTCTACAAAAATAAACCCTAAAAATTAGCCAAGTATGATGGCACACTCCTATAGTCCTAGTTACTTGGCAGACTGAAGCAGGAGGATGGCTGGAGCCCAGGAGTTCAAGGTTATAGTGAACTATGATCACACCACTATACTACTCCATCTGGGGCAACAGAGAGGAAGACCCTATCTCTAAAAAAAAAAAGACCCAAATGGTATAGTTTGCTCTATATGCTTTGTAATCTGAATAATGTTTTAAATGCACTGAAGATGCTTACTAAAGAAAAAATATTTCATAAACCAAAAAATGATTATATAGTAAGTAATCATTCCCGATATCCATTTTACAAGCAAACACTTTAGGAAGATGGTTGCTGAAATGAAGCAGAATAGTATGAAGCTCCGCAGATATTTTAGTAACTATGTCATGGCAGGTAATTATGTGGACAATTTTTGTCCAGTTAATCAAATCATGAATTAATGGATAATGACAATATGAACATTAGAGTTTTAAAATATCTAGGATGTGCCAGCTTATTTTTCTGATTTCTTAGGAACAGGCAAAATGGAATAAGTTCATGACTGAGTAACCAGAATGGCAAAGGGACTTCAAAGCCTGCTATTTAAAGAAATCGGGATATTCTGCTGCTAAGGAGAGGAGCTGGGATGAAGGGGATCTGATTTCATCTTCCAATATTTACTGAGTTGTCACATGTGCAAGGGATACTAGCTGTTCTACATTGCTCCAAAGGGTAATGTGCCCAGTAGGCAGTGGTCACAGTGAACCGATGTGGAGTTATAGCAAGAGCTCTAACAGTCAGTGCTGCCCCTACAGGATAGGTACTGCCTGTGAGGTTCTGAGTGATTCCTGACCACAGAGGTAATAGAGCAGAGTAGACATAACTGCCTGATGGGGAGAGCACGAGGGGAGCCTGTAGGGAGGGAAGGAGAGGAACGGGACACACGCCATGTCACATTTCTGGTCCTTGCTAACCATGAAATTCTAAGGTTCTACCAAACACCATCATAAAACTGTAGGTGAAAATTCTGTAAGAGTAAGGTTACAAAAGTGCTGTGCTATTTAAAATGACCCTTCCAATCTAATCAGGGAAAATACATCAAAAGAGGAACAGTCAAGTAAATAAAAATACCCAAGGACTTACCATCATACTTAGCTAAGACTGCCTGAACATCAGCATATGCTTGTAGTTCCAGAAGGGCTTCTAAAAGGTTTTCATGGATATTGAACATGCTCAGAAGGGGGAACTCCTTCATTAACTAGGGCAGAAGAAACCAAGGAATAATTAGTATATTATGTATGTCTTATACTTTTAATGTACATATTTTATTGTACATATTTACTGTATATATCACATTTATATATATATACACACAGTAAAATGATTACTAGAGTTAAGCATTTTAAGGAATAAGCATTTCTTATTTATTTAATTATTTGAGACGGAGTCTTGCTCTGTTGCCCTGGCTGTAGTGCAGCGGTGCGATCTCAGTTCACTGCAAGCTCCACCTCCCAGGTTCAAGCGATTCTCCTACCTCAGCCTCCCAAGTAGCTGGGACTACAGGCACGTATCACCATGCCCGGCTAATTTTTTGTATTTTTAGTAGAGATGGGGTTTCACCATGTTAGCCAGGATGGTCTTGATCTCCTGACCTCGTGATCCACCCACCTTGGCCTCCCAAAGTGCTGGGATTACAGCATCTCTTATTTTTAAAGTATAATACTGAATTGTATTTATATAAAAGTATAATTCAATTCTTAAAAGTATAATTAATATTGAGCTATAAGAGTTCATATCAATTATTATTTTGTAAATCATTAAATGCTTCTTTTGTTTCCAATAAGGTGGGATAAGATTCAAAGAGAGGTTTTCATAAAAGTTGAAGAAAATGCTCAATAAAGATAAAATGCCATGGAAAAACCAAACAAGGTAAAGGATGAAAAATATCTCACAGGCTTTACCAGTTAGGTCACTGGTAACTTCGCCAGCAGCAGTTTGGATGGAAACCAGACTGTAAAAGAGTAAACAAGGGGGCCCTACTCTTTCAAGTAGCCTAGTGGCAAAGTTAGGGAGACAAAGTAGAAAAATAGCTAGAAAGTGACATGGGTTAAAAGAAAATTTGTAGGTAGTGATGGGGGTGGTAGTAAAGAGGAAGGTTTACGAGTTCCTGCCTGGTGGCCTCCATAAAACCGGGGCCAAGATCATCTTCTGAGACTAATAGGTGTCAGGGAAGAAGCTTAAAGATGGGGTGAAAGTAAAAAACAGCCACACGGTGGTGAACTGCTCAGGAAAAAAAAAAAAAGAAAGAATTGCTAAGGCTGTCTTGAGGGCCTAACAGACTGGAGACCATAAATTTATAGAGGTTATAATTGCATGGTGGGCAAGTTTTACCTAGCAGTGGCCAGCAGCCCAGGTACAGTAGCAAGATGTCAAATGATTAGGTTGAGCCTGGGTGGACTGAATTAGGTTCAATAAAATTCAAGGAGCAAGAGACTGGACTATGGTGGTGAACGAATGATTAAAGGAATGGTCCAAGGGTTCTAGACTGGATGAAGATGAAGAGAGGCCCAAAGGGAGTTAAAAGATACAATATTGAACTTCACTGGGAAGCAAAGAGAAAGAAGAAAGACAAAGAATTTCAGAGTAAATTTTTTTATCTTCAAGAAAGGTAAAATCTGGCCAGGCATAGTGGCTCATGCCTATAACCCCAGCACTTTGAGAGGCCGAGGCAAGTGGATCACCTGAGGTCAGGAGTTTGACACCAGCCTGTCCAACATGGCAAAACCCCCTCTCTACTAAAAATACAAAAATTAGCCAGGTGCGGTGGCACGCACCTGTAGTCCCAGCTACTTAGGAGGCCGAGGCAGGAGAATTGCTTGAACCTGAGAGGTGGAGGTTGCAGTGAGCTGAGATCATGCCACTGCATTCCAGTCTGGGCAACAGAGTGCGCTCCCATCTCTCTCTCTCTCTCTCTCTCTCTCTCTCTCTCTCTCTCTCTCTCGAAGAAGAAGAAGAAGAAGAAGAGAGAAGGAGGAGGAGGAGGAGAGGAGGAGGAGGGGAGGAGGGGAGGAGGGGAGGAGGGAGGAGGAGGGAGGAGGAGAGGGAGGAGGAGAGGGAGAGGAGAGAGGGAGGAGGAGAGAGGAGAGGAAGAAGAAGAAGAAAAAGAAGAAATCTCATCTTAAAAGAAAGTTAACCAGGTTCAAAAAAAAAGGAAAGGTAAAATCTTATCTTAAAACAAAGATAACCAGGTTCAAAAAAAAGAAAAGTAAAATGTTATCTTAAAAGAAAGGTAACCCAGGTTTTTATAGAGCAGAATCACAGATATATTCTCCTCTAATCCCCTACCTGGATAACTGCTATCTATTATAACATAATAACCTCTAAAAAAGTGGTAACTGTTTTCGATGTCAACATCTTTAAAGTAATTATGCTGAGAGAAATAATACTCAAAAATAGGCTAATTCACTGCTAAGCAAAAAATCAGTGAATATACTGCATTGACCATCCAGTTCTTCCATCATTAGTAACATTTACCATATCGCTTTGTTTTTTAAAGCCAAGAATCATTTACCCTATCTTTAAAAATAAATAATTTTCTGCAGCCCAAAAGAGCATCATATTACTAATGAAAAACCCCTATTAAACTGATTACGCGTTCAGTAAGACTGATGGTCCGAACTTCCCCAGAGAGGCCTGCAGTGTTTTCACTGTTGATAAAGGAAGTGAATCAGACTATACCACACATTGCTGATGTTCTGTAACCAATAAAAGTACTTCTTGTTCTGGTTCATTTTGATTCTAGTTGACATTACTCTTTGATTTTTTTTTCTCTTTCTAATTAAAGCTAGTTAGAATTAAAGCTCTCTGTCATTCAGCATTTGGCAACACAATAAAGACATTCTCTAAACTGCAACATTTAAACATTTATTGTTTTCAGCCAATTCTTCAGGTAACGATCAAACTTCAAGGACACAAATCATATTCTATAATTTAAAAAGTGCAATTCCAAATATTACTTGCTGAAGCTTAAAAACTGAGTCTTATTAAAACTCAATGAGACCGCATATGCAAACATGAGGTCTCACCCGGTTCCAACAGAACTTGAGGTAAGATGCTAGGAGCTTAAACAACAGTGCTTTCATTGGAAGCTCGGACAGGGTAAACTGTGTTCAAAAACACATCACCAATAAAAGGATTTTAAACATGGTAAAAAGCAAATGTTGGAGAGGTAATTAAAGTCATATGACAATTCATAAATCTAGCTTTCCTAATTTAATATAAACAGGAAGAAAAAGTGAACCCTCTGCTGCCTCCACTGCCCTCTCCAGCCCCTCAAACAAGCTATCTTAGAGAAAAGCCCGCAACTCCCTTGGCTCTGTTTACTCCACACTGCTTCGCTACAATCTGGCTTGCCTCTGCACAACCTGAATCTGCTTGTCCCCATCTACAGGTGACTGAGATTGCTCCTGTGGACACCCTCCGCCCTTTTCTTGCTTGACCTCTGCATCATTTGAAAGTCTGATAGCTTTTTCTTTGAAACGCTTGCCTCTCTTGGCTTCTTCAACAGTATTCTCTTCTGGTTTTCTTCATACTTATCTCACAGCTCCTTTTCTAGTTTCCCCTTGTCTCTGACTTAGGAGTGAGTCTTCTTGCACGTTATGTCCTGCATCCTCTTATCTTAAACACCCTGATCTCTAGAACCGTTGTCATTTCCAGGGTCTCAGCATCAGCATCTCCACGGGGATGACTTCCACAACCTAACATCCTGCCAACTGTCTTCCTGACAGTTTTACCTCAGTGTCCTTAAAGGCAACACACCTAATACTGAGCTGACAATTTCCCTCTTCCCAGGTCAACCCTTCAAACCTGTTCTTCCCTCCTTGGTATTTCCTATCTCAGAGAAAAGAACCATTAAACTCTTGTCACCCTCTTCTCCTTACAGCCACTTTAGAGGCCCTGCAACCCCTGAGTTGATATTTAAAACATGTTGATAGCTTTCATTACATTCACTGAAAGCTCTGTTATGCAAACATACACCTTAAGAATCATTACTCTCTCTCTTTTCTCTAACCATGCTGCCAGTAACTTATGCCCTCATATATTACCTAAATTGCTCCAATAGCATCTGCATTTGTCCATTTGCCTCCAATCACCTCTTTCCAATCCACCCTTCCAATGCAGTCATAAAGGCTTTTTTTTTTTTTTTTTGAGATGGAGTCTCACTCTGTCACCCAGTCTGGAGTGCAGTGGTGCCATCTGGGCTCACTGCAAGCTCCGCCTCCTGGGTTCATGCCATTCTCCTGCCTCAGCCTCCTGAGTAGCTGGGACTATAGGCGCCCATCACCACGCCCAGCTAATGTTTTGTATCTTTAGTAGAGACAGGGTTTCACCGTGTTAGCCAGGATGGTCTCCATCTCCTGACTGCGTGATCTGCCCACCTCGGCCTCCCAAAGTGCTGGGATTACAGGCATGAGCCACCGCGCCCAGCCCATGAAGACTCTTATCCACAAGTGAGTCTATCACACTCCTGCTTAAAAGGCAACCACTGACATGACGAGATTTATCCCAAGGAAATAATCAGATGTGAATACAAATTTACAAAGCTGTTTATCACATTATTGGTAATAGTAAAAATTTTTAAAATGCAAGCAACTTAAAATTTAACCCATTATGAGATATTTAAGTATAATAAACTATAGTCACCTTGTGGGCTATTATATGTTGTCATTAGACGTTAAGTTCTCAAAAACCTTTCAACAGCATGGCCTGGGAAATGCTGACATACAATATTACACTAGAGAAAGCAGGATACAAACTATATTTTGCAATAAAATCATGCTTTTCTTATGAGCCTATGCATAGAAACATACTTGGTTAGAAATACACTAAAATTATACCAATATACTAAATTATACTAATATACTAAAATGTTAACAGCAGTTATTTCTAGTTGATATTAAAGGTGATTTTTATTTCTTCCTTCATATTTTCTATATGTTCTAATTTTTGAAAATTTTGTTCTAACATTCATTCTATGAACTGGGGAGGGGGACAGCCATTTTTAGGAATACTGGCTTCTCACTCAATTCCGGATATAATCTAAAATGCTTGGCAAGGCGAACACAGCCCCTTGTGACAAGTCCCTGTCTACCGTGCCAGCCTCACTTCTAGCCACTTCACACACACCACACACCTGGCACAGAACAGCTTTCAGTTCCTTAAACAGGCCACGTTCACTCATGCATCTATCCAAGATCC